CTTATTTGTGGAATAGAAGTTTCGGAAATCTCAATTTAACACAACTACGGGTGAAGAAAACGAAACAAAAAACAACATTGAAATGAGGAGAGAGAGAGAGAAGGGGAAAACCAAAAAACTAATTTGAAATGAGGAGAGAGAGGAAGGAGGACAGAGATGAGATCGAGACAAACAAGACAATAAAAAATTAAAATAGTACAAAACGGGAAATCGAGTTGCAGAACGGGGCTGCTGAGTCAAAATTTTCAAATTCCAAGCGAATTGACAAATTTACCCTTTGATATGTATTTGCATGTACATATCAGACCTCCCTTTGGAAGCCCTCATATCAACATATCGCGTACCCTGTAGAACAACCTGAACCGCACTGAATCAGTAAGAATCTTAAGCCGAGTATACCCACATTTCTTGGCACGTCGTAAAGCAAAAAGACAGGCCTACAGCCTGAAGAGCTGAGTTAGAAACACACGCCTGAGCCCCACCTCCAGCCTGGTTCCCAGAAGCCCTCTCCGAGAAGACCCAACCCGTCCCAGCCATATGATGTAATACCCCGTATTTTTATACGTATTTTAACTTAAATAAGTATTTCTTAAAGTGTTCAAATAATTCGAAATGAATTATTTATGGTGTTTCATTAATTTAAAAAGAATTGTTTTAATTAAAAGTTTATTTTTAATTATTTAACAATCTTGAAAATATTTTATTTCATGATTTGGAAACTTTGGGGCATATTATTTTATAAAAGGAAATTTTAAAACCAATGGTATTTAAGGAAAGTCAAAATACTAGTTTGAATAGGAGAAGAGATCATTAAAGGTAAAAAGGGGAATTTAAGTAGGAGGGTTTAGAGTGGGGGTATAAATACCCATCACATGGGCAAATTGAACCTTGCCCAAGTTAGAGAATACCCAAAGGTAACTCTCTCTCTCTCTTCTTATTTTCTCTTTCTCTCTCTTATTTTCCCTTTCCCCTTTATTTTTATTTTGTTTCATCACCACCCACATACACCACCACCGGCCAGCCACCACCACAGCCACCATCGGCCGGCTGCCACCACCACCAGCACTCGCCGGCAGCGGCGGGCGCGACAGCAGCCCGACCTTGGTGGTCGTGCGGCCCTTAAGAAAAAAAAATTGTTCTTTTGATTTTTAATTAAATCCACCCTTGATCTAATTATAGATTTTGATTTTTGTGATGATTTTTATGATGTTTGATTTTAAGTATGATGTATATAGATTTTCCGATTTGGTTTTGAATTAAAAAGCCCCAAATTATAAACCCTAGGTTCTAAGTTTATGTATATTGATGGAAATTGTTTACAGGTGATTTAAATTATTGAAATAAGTGTTTTAAAACACAATTACAACTATTTTAGATGATTTAATAAAGCTGGAATTTTTATATATAAGCTGTAATTATGTTTCTTGAAATGATTTTTAATTACTCATTAATTGAGAATAAAAGTAAGGGTTTTAAATCAAATTTTAGCTTGTTTTAAAGGATTTATGAGTGATTTAAGGAGTGTATATATATGGCTGGAAATTTATATTGAATAGGTAATAATGCTTCTTTGTAATTTTGGTTTGTAGGAGTTTTCCAAGTGAGTGATTTTATTTAGTCGTGGCGATTTTGAGATCATATTCAAGGTACGTTCGCGTACTTGGTAATTATTTGAATATGTAGAAGCATGCTAGACTTTGATAAATTAATTCCAAGTAGTATCATGATAGGAGTTGGTTGGAATTTGTTGATTAGATTGATGTTGGTAAATGATTTGTGAGGTATGAATTATTTATGATGAATTGGTGATTGGAATTAAATATGTTGGCATGTTGGATATGAACCACACTTTTACCATTATCTTGATGGAAGACATGTTTAATCAAACTAAATGTTTAATTTGGTTTGGAATATGAAAAGGAAATTTTATTTTGGTTCATATAATTTTTATTGATGCTATAAGCATGAGGAAGGAGCTATTTAAGTGTCTATGTACACGAGGATTAAATTATATTTTGGTGCCTAAGTGCACTTAAGGTGTTCTAAACACCGAGGGATAGGATTTGTGGTGCTTTATGCGCTTAAGGTGTTATTTAACACCGAGGTAGTTTGAAAAGGATTTAATATTAAATTTATGTGGTCACAAATTATTCAAGAATTAAATTGGTATGCTTGTTTGCTTGAAGGAATTATAATGTTTGATTGTGTTATGGTTTGAGAGTCATAACCAATTATAATAATATGTAAAGCAACGTAAAGTGAAAGAGATTACGCACCAAGACTCTTGGAACGTATATACCTTGAGTATGAACATATGGGGGGGGGGAGAGTTATGCGACTTTATATTTGACCATAACTTCTATTGGGAGTACAAGACGTTGTATATTCCTTTTTATTATGCGCAGGAATTCCGCACTTATGAGTGGTTCTTTTATACTAGCACGGTTAGCTCCCGTGTTAGTACCCCTTTATTGGGGCAAGTTAGGGGGAAACTCGTTCGATGCGTAATCAAATAAATGGACATTGGTATTTTTCTAGTTAAGTGTTGAATGTCTTGCATGCTTGTTTATAGGTGCAACAAAGTAAGTTGTGTGATGATAGGATGAAAGCATGATATTGTGTTTTATTACGCTTATGTACTCAACATTGTTGATTGTGTGTTGTATGTTTGTTTGACCTTGTCTTTACCTTGGCCCTACGACGACCCATTTCTAATGGCGAGTAGTTGGGACAGGTAGAGAGAAGTTTTTCAGGTGATGAAGCATTTTCATGATGGGCATGAGTGAAGAGTGAATCATACTTAGTTTCCATAGGAATATGATGTGTTTTATTTGCTTTGAATATTATTTAATTTATTATGCTCATGAGACTAACGTAAAGGTTTTCAGTATTGTTTGGTTTTAAGGGCCTACAATGGTTCGAAGCTGTAGGTTGACTTTGTTTGACTTTACTTTCGTTTGGTTTGGCATTTAAGTTGACTTGTTTTGAATGGTTTTAAAGAAAGCCTTCCGCTGTGTGTCTTTGATATTTGCCTTAGCCGTTTTCACGGTGGTGTTAATGTCTTAGATTTTCCTATTTCGTATTTCAAAGAGGGCAAAACAGGTATTTTAAAGGAAAGAAATTTCTAAGGTGTTACAATGTGGTATCTGGGAGCTTTGGTTGAGATTTTTTATTACCACTAAAGCCAAAAACGTGTTTGAAAGGAATTTGTTTTAAACTTGGCCAAGTGCTTACTTAATTAAGTTATTTTTAAAGAGGCTTATTTTCACTTATTTTAATTTTTGGAAACCGGAAAATTTATTCATTATTTAATTTTTAAAGGTCCAATTTTTTTTTTTTTTTTTTTTTTTTATTGTAGAAAATCTGAGTTTTATTTTTATTTTTATGAAGGATATTCGAATTTTTTTTTTTGGGTGTCCGAATTTTTTTTATGTTGGCCGAATATTTTGGCCTTTTTCTGGGCTTATTTTCGAAAATTAATTTTAAAAGAGGAGTCAAAAATATTTTTAGTTTGTTCATTTTGCAGGAAAGCAAGGATTGAGGTAAGTATTATGTGTTAAAAGCTTTTAAAAGCATGCTGGTGAGCTTGGGTAGGAAAGATTTTGGGCATATAAGTTAGGAATGATTATGTTCTTGTATGCATTAAGTTTTAGGTTGTGATGTTTGATCATGTGGATTGATTAATTGAAAGCATGTGATTATGTGATTGAGAATAGGTAAAATTGTTTGATTGAACATTGAACCTAATTCATGCAAGAACTGTATTATTTTATTTTCTTTGGGAAGGGAATTCTTTTCTACGCCTTTTCCTTTACAGGATGCCGATTCTTCCTAGCAAACATTCCCAAATTGGTACTCTAGTTAAGAAAAATAATGAACATCCGTTTGATTATGTCAAGAAGATAAGATTCTATTGTTCCCATATGAGCGATGTCTTAGGAGACAAGCACTATGACCTTCCTGATCAAGTTTCTGTTATGATTATTCATTGTCTACCGGATGAACCCCCATACCTTGTTGTCAAAGCAAAATTTTCTGATTTCTATTTACCAGGGGACATCCCAAACTACTCTATATACAGAGACTATTATGGCCAGTGGTATCCAGATTATAGGTACCTAATTTCTTACCTCGTTAGAGTTGAGAAATATCATTGTGAGCGCTTGCACATTCCTTATCCCAATTACTACTATGATAATCCAGCAGGGAATAATTTCCCTTCCACTAGTCATCAGTCAGGAAGTTCTTCTCCCACTCAGGGTAATCAAGCAGGGACAGATGGAGGGCAGGAAGAAGGAGAGATGATGGATGAGAGTAGCCATACTGTTGATAGTTCCATTATGGAGATTCCATATCCAAATCCACCTCCAACTCCAATTATAATCGACATTTCATTTGATGATGAGGAAGACGAAGAGTTTGTCCAAGTAGAGCAAGAACCAGAGTCACCTAAACCAATGGAGGAAGAAGATGACCCTGAATTCGATCTTGGAAGCTACAAACAATCTACCGACAAGAAGGATAATGTTCGAAAGGACTAGATTTTTGTAGTTTCATTTCTTTTAGGATTCTTAGATTCGTTTATGCATTTTAATTATTCTAGTTTCAGTGAAGCAATAAGTGGCATGTCCACAGTGAGTCAGTAAACTTATGTAGTTGCATAAGTTATTTAAACTCATTTTATTTCAGTGTTCCATTCATTTTCTTACTCAGCAATAAAATTTCGTTTATTTCCTTGTCCAATTATTCATTTATTGACAAATAATTTATTTCGTTCTCAAATCATTCATTTCGTATCACTACTCCAAGAAGCCATTTCTTACTCGCAAATATTCCAATAATTCATTTCTAAACTCTGGGAATCCATGGGAATTATTTTTGTTGATTAATGTGATTCTTCATTAAATGTGTGGTTGGTTAGCAATCAATATTTGGTTGACAAAGCTGCAAATTTTGGGAATTTTAACTTTTGTAATCCCAATTTGTTAGCTTAAAATTTAATGTGTATGCTTTAAGGGTATTAACTAGTTATATGGGTGTCTAACATGAGAGTTAGCCAAGACCATATTTAATAAATACCCCTTTGTTTTAATTCAGGCGAAGAAAGATGGCAGGAGGGAGTGAGTGGTAACAACAACGATGGAGGAGAGCTAAGTGAAGTTGTGAGGCAGTTGGCTGCTGTTGCCCAACAATTAGCAAGGAACTCAACCAATAATGTAGATGCTCAGGGAGAGCTATTTAAGAAGGTGCCGCAGAGCAAGCCACCAACCTATCAAGGAGAGCCTAATCCAACTATATTGGAAAATTGGTTAAGGGAGTTTGAGAAACCGTTTGGGGCAGTAGGGTGTACGGAAACTTCAAAAGTAGGTTGTGCTACCTATTACCTCAGGGGTGAAGTTGACCTTTGGTGGCAGCAAAATGAAGCTACCATTAAGGCACTACCTAGATTTAACTGGACGATGTTTCAGGAGAAGGTTAGGGACAAGTTTTACCCTAGCTTCTTACAGAAACAAAAAGCTGAGGAATTTTCTAACCTTGCAATAGGGAATATGTCGGTCACTGAATACTACACCAAGTTTATTGAGCTGTCACGATTTGCTAAAGAGTCTGTTTTTACAGAAAAGCCTAAGGCTAGGAAGTTTGAGAGTAGACTGACTATTGATTTGCAGTTAAAGCTGTGTGGGCAAGTATTTAAAACCTTGGATGAAGTGTATGGGAGAGCTACACACCTATATGCCTTAGAATTAAAGAAAAGGAAAGAGATAGCTAAAGTGGAAGGAAAGGAAAAGAGAAAAGAGGTGGGATAGAACTCTAGAAACCTGCTAGGTAACCAGAACAACTTCAAGAAACAGAAGTACCACCATAATAACAACAACTTCCACAACAACAATAATTTTCAAGGAAACAATCGCCAAGGTGGTCGGAACTTTAATGGTGGAGCTAAGAATCTAACCAGGGAAATAATAAGGGTGGAAGTCGCTATTTTTGCAAAAGGTGCAAAAATAACCACCCTGGTAGGGATTGTGATGGAAATTTGGTCACCTGTCGTGCTTGCAACAAGTTAGGACACAGGGAGTGTGAATGTTTCTCCAAGGATCCCAATCAAAATAAAATAAGGAAATAATCAAGGAGGGGTTCAGAGAAACTTTCAAGGAAGCAACAACTATTTTGGGAACAAGGGGGCACAACAGAATGCGGCGAAAACCAATAATAATAATGGAAATAACCAACAGAAAGGTGGAGCTGGAGGAAAGTTGAATGTAATGAGTAGGCATGAGGCTGATTCCACGAAAGATGACATCACTGGTACCTTTTCTATTAACTATATTCCTGTTAAAGTCTTGTTTGATTCTGGTGCAACTTTTTCTTTCATTTCAAAGGCCATTGTTTCAAAATTATCAAACCGTTTGAAAACCGTAGATGAGGTAGATTTGTCTATAGTTATTCCTACGGGTGGGGTAGTAAAGTGTAACAAGACCTTTAAAGATGTACCTTTAGAAATCGAAGGAAAAGTGTTTTTGTCAGATCTCATTGAGTTTGGGTTGAGTGACTTTGATGTCATTTTGGGAATGGATTGGTTGAGCAAGTACAGTGCAGAGATTAGTTGTAGATCACAGAAAGTAAAAATGAGTACAGCTGATAATGAGTGGGTGACATATTGAATGCATGGTGAAACCAAGTGCCCAAGGATCATATCTGTGTTAAAATTGGCAAAGTATATTAAGAAGGGGCATCCAATGTATTTTTGTAGTGTGAGGAATATGGAACATGAAGAAACAACTAAGCCTGAGGATATAGAAGTAGTAAATGAGTTTCTGGATGTGTTTCCAGAAGAGATTCCTGGAATGCCACCCAAAAGGGCAATTAATTTCACAATAGAGCTAGTTCCAGGAACAACACCAATTTCCAAGGCACCATATCGAATGACACCTGTAGAGATGAGTGAGTTAAAGGAGCAATTGCAGGATTTATTAGAAAAGGGATACATAAGACCAAGTGCATCACCTTGGGGAGCGCCAGTATTATTTGTGAAGAAGAAAGATGGAAGTATGAGGCTATGTATTGACTATAGGGAGTTAAATAAGGTTACCATAAAGAACAAGTACCCATTACCAATGATTGATGACCTATTTGACCAGTTGGGAGGCGCAACTGTGTTTTCTAAGATTGATTTAAGGTCTGGTTACCATCAACTTAGGATTGCAGATGAAGATATTCCCAAGACTGCATTTAGAACAAGATATGGACATTTTGAGTTCACAGTGTTGCCTTTTGGATTGACGAATGCTCCTGCAATCTTTATGGACTTGATGAATATGGTGTTTCATCCATTTATGGACAAGTTTGTGGTAGTGTTCATAGATGATATACTGGTGTATTTGAAGAGTAAAAAAGAAGAACATGTAGAACATCTAAGAGCAATTCTGCAAACACTAAGGGAAAACAAGTTGTACGCAAAGTTCTCTAAGTGTGAGTTATGGTTGGAGAAAGTAGCATTTCTAGGTCATTTTGTGTCCAAAGATGGGGTAGAAGTAGATCCAGCAAAGATCGAGGCAGTGAAAGGTTGGCCTACGCCAAAAACGGTGTCTGACATTAGGAGTTTCTTAGGTTTAGTAGGGTATTTTAGGTGTTTTGTGAAAGATTTCTCGAAGATTGCTAAACCTATGACCTCTCTAATGAAGAAAGACAAGAAGTTTGAGTGGGATGACAAGTGTGAGGAAGCATTCCAACTCTTGAAACAAAAGCTAATCACAGCGCCAGTGCTTACACTGCCAGACGATAGTGGAATTTATGCTGTATATAGTGACGCATCCAAGAATGGTCTAGGATGTGTACTTATGCAAAATGGGAAGGTGATTGCGTATGCATCAAGACAGTTAAAGACTCATGAAGTAAATTACCCTACTCATGACTTAGAACTAGTTGCAATCATTTTTGCGCTAAAGATTTGGAGGCACTACTTATATGGAGTGAAATGTAGGATTTATACAGACCATAAGAGTTTGAAATACATTTTCACTCAAAGGGATTTAAACTCACGCCAAAGGAGATGGTTAGAGTATACGACAGATTACGACTTAGACATACAATATCATGAGTGGAAAGCAAATATAGTCGCAGATGCTCTAAGTCGTAAAACTAACTCCTATACCATGACATTTGTTCTGTGCTTTAATTCAAGCATGAGTCATGGGGAAAGTTCACACATGGTCAAACGTCTGGTGCAATGTGCAATGATGGATCACCCTCTTAGTCATTGACCCTTTTCACAAACTTAATGCTAACAATAATAATTTAACATAAATACTAGATTTTAAACTAAATAATAATTCAACATAAACACTAGCTAACTAAGATTATAATTTTTCATTATGAAATAATCATTTTGTTACGATATTGGAACTTTTAAGATTTGGTTTTGATTTGTAAGAACAATGCAAGTTGAAATGAGAAATCAATTAAAAGTGCACAAATTAAAACACACACAAGATTTACAGTGTTTCACTCAACATGAACTACATCCACTTTTGGGGATTGGAGCTTATATTACTCTTCAATAGAAGAAGAATTACAATGAATGAATTTTGAAAGAGATGAGAAATATATGGTGTATGTTCTTGGTAATTGAGCTAGTTTATATCGATATCACTTGTGTTTGTCTCTTTCATACTCTTACAAGACTATACAAAATGTATTTATAGTGCTTGAAAATAAGGACAATCCAACGACCAAGATTAGAGTTCGGCAGTCGACATTCAGAAGAGGCCAACTGGCCGAGTAAGTTCGATCAAACCTACCCATGGTTCGAGCAAATTTTTATATAGAATGATCAATCGAACTTCTATTCTCAAGGTTCATGCGAACCATTCCGCAAAATGCTTGACAGAAAACTCTTCGTACAATGGTCATAATTTCTTTGTTTCTTATCGAAAATAGGCTTATTCATGACCACTCGTTGGAAAGCTATTATCACCTCCAATAAAAATCAACTCAATATCATTTCTTGATTTGATATATGATCATATGAAGTCAGCCCTTTGCTATGCTTCTTTACTTAAAACTCCAAACACCATAAACCAAACATGCATCACCATGGATCATTCAAGGTACACACATAAAACATTTAATCTGTATGTTCGTTTTGACTCAATGCTAATCCTTAAAATATATGTCATGCCCCAGTAAGTCTCATATACCTATGTCTTTCCTACCATTTTAAGTTTAGAATGAAGTCATGAGCCTTAAGATTAATTATATTCCATGATTGAGTCTATTTGCAATTCAAATTTATATATAGTGCTAAAATGTCACACAAAATGGTCATTTGTGAAGCTCTACTTCAATTTACATGTCCCATACTTATCAATAAACAACCAAAAGTATTGACACGGATTACATGAGACTTTTATATGGAGACAAATGGAGTAGTGACTATATTCGAGGTCCAAAAGATTTTTGGCTTTTTGCAACAAAGAAAGTAGTACAAATAGAGGAAGTCCAAATACATTTAGATATTTATAATATGGTTTCTTAAAAAAAAAAAACAAGAAAGAAAGATATTTATAATATGGTAGTTTGGTAAATCAATGGAACTTTGTGTAGGCCTCGTTTTATCATCATCATCATCGAGAGGGGTTTAGATTTTAATAAGGAGATTGGAAGGGTAAAGGGGTAGATTTGTTTTTGGTTCACAAGGAGAGAAGAGGTGGATGGGGGGATATTGTTTACATAAAAGTAGAATCAATCAACCAATTAAACTGTGCCATGTAGGCTAAATGGATGATTTGAGTACTTTATAGTTTACACATACAGATTTGAGAATATTGGCAAGGATCCTCATACAAGGAGAAGAGTAAGCCTTATTTAGTAAAGAACTTGGTCCAGGTAAACGTACAAGGCTCATTGTGAGTGGGGAGAATAAGGTTGCCTCTAGTGAAAATTAATTTTAAAACCTCATTATTTGTGTCCTTACTGCTAAATCAAGTGCGAATTGAATTTTTTATTTTCTTGATATATCAAAGACTAATTAATATTACTTGAGATTATATTTGTTGGTTTCCTCTACAATGACTGAATGGACAAAGTATTTTTTCTTTAATTCCAAATGGACAACGAATTGATCAAAACATGTATGAATTGTAATAATATACGAAATAATTAACCACAAAAAAGACTTTTTAATTTGTGGTTTTATCATTAAACAGATAATATTATCTTTCTTAATTAAGATAAAACTATTGCTTAATTCATAAATACCATACTTATTTAGCATCTTAGCTACAGAAATGTAAGTGAGCTAAGTACTTAGTAGTAGATAGCTAACTAGCAAAATCAACATAGTGACATACTAGCTACTTAATCATTTGCCACTTTTGTGCATAACTTTACCAATAATTAATAATCTACAAAATATAAATCTACAAAAAAGATTATCCCATATATTATCTTAATAACTACAAAGTAACACTTCATGATCAGCTTCAAATCTGATTTGCATATTAACCCTAGCAATAAAATCATCTGCCCTTCTATGCAATTCATCACTTGACAATAACTCATGAACAACTTCCTCCTTTTTACACTCCAACACATCCTCAATGTGCTCAATCTCCTCCCAATCATCTCCTATTTCATTCTCCTCTTCTTCAACTCGACTCGATTCTTTCTCCACTTCCTCTGCCTCAATCTTTACCGCATCTGCGATCTTACATTCAACTTCAACCAATTTTTCTTCTTGCTTCACCTTAACCTTTTCGACTTCAACTTTGTCGATTTTTTTAGGACATGTGGCTTCTGACCCTTGATTAATCTTTGACTCACCCAAGAGAAAGATAACAATAAGATTGCCAATAATGAAAAGAGACTTCACATTGAAGAAAAATGACAAGATTGTAGGAAGAGAAACACAAAGAAAGGATTTCATAGATGAATACATAGAAGGTAACCAAAATGGACTAGTACAAAATATACCACAAATTAAAGCTACAATTGGATAAAACATTAGGGTCGTCTTAATTTGTTGTTGTTTATATCTTCTTAATGCTAGGATTTTTTCTACATTGATAGAATCCATCATTTTTTTTTTTTTTTTTTTTTGGGGAAGAGTAATAATAAGAAGATGAAATTGGTTGATTGACTGACCTTAGAACAATGGGAAAATCTAGCATTTATAAGTAATATGAGGGTATTGGTGGTATACAATAATACAATAATACATCTAACTTTCACGTTAAGTGTACGTGGATACTTTTTTTGTATGGGGTAAGGTGATGACTTTTTGAAAAGCAAATATATAAAATGGTCCATCACTCCATTTGTTATTTTGTTTAACTTTGGACAAACTCTTTTTTTTTTTTTAATGTTTTTTTTCCTTTTGGTTAAATTTTCTTTCTTTATTCCACAATTTCAGCTTGATGGTTTTACATTGATCTTTGCTTAATGGCGTGGAAATCTACCTAGTGTAGATTCATAGAAAGGCGAGAATTTTATGCTTCATTTTTTCTTTTTCATTTTGACCATCTTTTTTCTTATTCTGCTCAATTAATGCTTTTCTTATTTACCAAATTGATAGTATGGAGTAGAAGTGGTAAATGGGCAGGGTCGCACACGGCCTACCCTGACCTATATGGCTAGTGGATCCACCGAGTTTAACTTGGACATA